AGGGACCTATCCATGCATGAATTTTATGCATTGAGCCTCTAGTACATATGTAAAAATCTAACAAGTATTTCTATAAATCTAGACAAACATCACCTTGTTATTTCCTTTGGTATTGTTCAGCTTTTTGTTTTGAAATGTGATCAGTTTAATTGTTTGAGGAATACAAATTTAAACAAATATTTCAAATGATCCTCATACTGTAAAGTGATTTTTAACTTTGTAATTATTTTTCTGTACATCTCTAGAAGTAACTTCATCACTTAAACAGAAATAACTATGCTGAATTATCAGAGGCAAAAATAAAAATAATAGAGTTGGGTTGCCCTGTCAGTGTGCTCCGTTGTTAGTGCGCCGGCCTTCTCACCAGAGGGTGACGGGTTTGATCCCCATCCCTGCTCGCGTCGTGGGTGGGAGGCAACCAGTCAGTGTCTTTCTCACATGGATGGTTCTATCTGTATCTCTCTATCTCTTTTTCCTCTAACCCTCTCTTCCCCTCCTTTCCAATCTTTATAGAAAAATCAATGGAAAAAATATACTCACTCTTTGGATGAGGATATAAAATAATAATAATAATAATAATAATAGGGTTGGTTGTCACAATGTTTTCAGAGAGGACAAGGAGAAATCCTCACAATTAAATATTTGCATACTGAGGAAGATTGCTTCTTGGTACTTTGTTATTTATGCATACTGCTTCCCATTAAATAATTTTTTTGTTTGTTATTAAAGGGTATATTTGTAACAAGGGTACAACCTGAAGGACCAGCATCAAAATTATTGCAGCCAGGTGATAAAATTATTCAGGTAACTAAGATACATCTTTTTATTATTTTCTTTTCTTTTTACTTTGTAACTAATCTGCCTTCTCATCAAGAAATTATTAAATGCCTAATTTGAAAATAAGCACTTTATGAAGTTTATCTTTAAATATTTATGGATAAAAAGAATGATATTTTCTATATGCTACTCTAATACTTTAATTGTTTAAATAATTTTTACCTTGTACTGTGGAAAATCATACTGATTTTTTAATACGTGTTTGATATATTTTAGTTCAGAAATGGTAACGTCTCTAAAATAAGGTGATGAAAGAATTTTTGTTTAATTAGAATTACAGTAGTTAATTCATGGGAGCACTTAAAACTATGTAGCTGCCACACAGTAAGACCTCCATAAATATTTAGCCTAAATTATAGGAAATAGTGTTCTTGATCTGTTACCCTGCAACTTGGTGACTTCAGTCGCACGGTAGTGCATACACACAACACTGACAGCACTGTGTCCTTGACAAGTATTCCTGGCACTGGCTGTTACATAGGAATCATCTGAAAATATAGGTTCCTTGATTCCACATTCAGAGATTCTATTTTAGTGGTCAGGTGTCTCAATGTTGTTTTCAATTGTCAAAATCATTCTTATTTTCTGCAAATAAATTACTATGAAATGTGTGTGTTTGTTTTTTAATATTTTTCTTTTTTCTTCTAGGCTAATGGCTACAGTTTCATTAATATTGAACATGGACAAGCAGTGTCCTTGCTAAAAACTTTCCAGAACACAGTAGAACTCATCATTGTACGAGAGGTTTCCTCTTAAGAACTGTGGACAAAAAGGGGAAAGGAAGACAGCAAGATTTATTGGAAGATATTTGCAGGGGAAATTAATATTTTGACTATTTTTATATATAAAGAAGAACTCAAAAAAAAAAGTATTTCAAATTTGTACATTAATGAAATAATGGAACTTGTGGCTAGAGGGAAAGAACCACTGTACAGTATATAGGGAAAATTGTTGAATCCAAACCATATAAAACTTCTTGTTAGTTTTTTTAAAAACATAGCAATCAAGGCTACAAAAACAACGTGTGTTGTTTTTGTATAGATTGTAGGTTTATTTTTGGATTTCATACTGTAGCCCAGAGACAGATGGCAGAGCTAGCTGTCCCATAGCTCTTATGCCCTTATTTTTATTCAACTGATTATTAATGTTTTTCTGCTGAAATTTTTTTTTTTTTAATGTGGGCAAGAGATTTGAAGTGTTGGTTTTTGCTATGTGCATATTGAATCGCAGAGTGAGCAGGTGAAGGTGGTGCTGGTGGGTTCACTTTCCAAGGCCTGATTAAGTTAATTCCTGTAAAAACCTAAAAGCAAAGAATGAAAAAACAGCTATCTGTCCATGTGTTTTTATTAACAGAATAATGCAATAAAAATGTAATGTCTTTTTAAAGAAATAAAAAAGACGATGATTACATTTTATGAGCTCTACAGGATCTATCCTTGTCATAAACATTGACTAGATAAATTTCCTACTGGTGATTCGATTTTCCATTTTTTAGTCACAGGAAATTTTTAACTATTGTAGATGTATGTCCATGCTTTTTCTGTGATACGAAAATACTTTGGGTTTTTTTGGGGGTTTTTTTTGGCAAATTATATTTGCGATTTGTTTTATAAGTAGTATTCCTTTTAATCTTAATTTATAATTTTTATTTTAAGCAGCAAAGGAAACTAAAATGGCCAGTTTTAAGATTGTGTTGCTATGACACAAAATGTAAGATGATTTAGGAAAGCCTCTTGCTTTTGTGTGGCCTCACATTGCCTTGGTAAAGGAAAAGGACAGTACGCATGGAGCTAGGAAACCAAAGCAAGTTTGTGAAACTGGCACAGTGATGGAGCATTGCTGTGGAGGGTTGTAGAGCAAAGGGATGGGTCCTTTGGGCCTACCAGTGTGTAAAGGTGTTCAAATAAAGGGCTGTTCCTACAGGTAGCATTTAATGTGAACTTGACACTTCAGAGTCTTTAAAGGGTTTCTAAGTGTATCAGTGTAATAGTGTTTTACTACCAACTGCCTTTGTTGTCATTGGTGTAAGAAATACTGGGTAGAGGTTTATTAATTTTGTTTATCCAAACAAAATTTTTGTTTTGTTTTGTATGTAATCAAATAAAAATTGAGTAATATGCAATGGTAAGAATGAATGCATGGATACTTGGACCATAAAAATGTGCCATAGAAGACCAATAACTGTTTTTATTCAAGCTGATCTAGAGCCTTTCATTAGAGCAATATTCAGTTATTGCAATTCATTTTTAATTACTAAGAAATATAATTTTGGAATTTTTAATCTGTTATTTTTTGTTTTAATTAAGACTTTTATAGGACTAGCAAAAACAGCAATCAACATTATTTTGCAAAAGTGAGTTAGACTCCAATTCCTTTCTTGCTAGTCAGAGTCAATAGGTAGTACTTTCAAAAAGATGTGAACTCAAATATTGCACTTCTTTCAAGATGTTATCAATTTGTTATTGTACTGTGTATAGTTTTAATAATATTGATTGAAACCCTTTAACAACTCTTTGTAAATTTTAACTCATTTTTGTTGATTTTCAGTACTATTTACATAGGAATTGATTTTTATGGATATAGTAGAAGAAATGTGCTGTATTTTGATAAAATTCATTTATTGTATGTGTTATAATCCCTAAAAAAAGAATGACAAACAGCTTCTTTAAGATAAGCCTTGGTGTTTCTTTATTCATAGTTGATTTTAAAATATTTTGGCATTGTAATTTTACAATGTAATTTCAATACATGTAATTTTACATTGTATTTGACATCATCTTTAATTTCAATTTTTCAGTCAATATTCTGCTTTTACTAGGAATACATAAAGTAGATATAATTATTACATTTTTCAACTACCTTGAATTATATACATAAACTATAATTTTAGAAAAGGAAGTAAACCACAAAGAACAATTGATTTGTCAATTAAACTTGATTGTCTGCTTTTATATTGAGATACTACAAGTGCGACAGGTATTTATACACTAGTATTTTTTCTACTCTAGTTAATTTAAAACATCTTTTAATGTTCTTGTAACACAAAGTTGAATAAGGAAATTTTTGTTACCAAGAGGAGTAACATGATACATGATATAATGTTAAAAACTAATAGCAAAAAGTTTTGCACTTAGTGTAAATTAATAGCTAAAGTTCTCTTCTAAAATACTGGAATGTTGAAATGAAATAACAAGTGCTCTCAGAACTTTTGGTAATGATAAAGTTTCAAAATTTAAATAAAAAGTAATAATTCAAATCTTTTGAGAACATAGAAAGACATTTTTAGTTAATATGAAATTGAGTGACTTGCAGTCAAGGCCTACAACCATAACAGACTTTATTTTAATAAGTATCATGTAGCAAACCATCAAAACTTAATTTTAGTAACAGTGTTTAAAATTGACTACCCTAAAATTTTAAACCATTAAAAATTATGTGTTAAGGGTAATTTACTCAGTACAGAATTGTATCCATAAAGCTAAAGTTTTTTTCTTATTCATTAAAGAATCATTAGTTTACTAAAATCCATGAAATTCTAAAATTCCCTACTTATTTATTTTATAACTTTTTTCTGACCTTTTTGGACTTAAATGTTTATATACTTTTTAAAAATTTAAACACAAACGTTGCTATAAATAGAACTAAACTTTTAAACATTAATTTGCTGTTTAAAAAAAATCCCATTAGCAGCTATGTAATATTTTTATCAATCAACATTTATAAAAAATTCCAAATTTTTATATATATCTAGATTGTTTTAAGTAACCACAGTGACTAGGTAATGAACTAATGCTATTTAAAGTTGTGGGATTTTATGAAATTCAGGGTGAGAAGAATTGTTACAAAGAGAAAGATATACAATTATTTTTTTGACCACTGAGAAAATCTATTTCTGGGTATGGAGGAAGTATTGTATTTTACTTTAAAGGAAACCAGTGGAGCCGGGACCGGTTTGGCTCAGTGGATAGAGCGTCGGCCTGCGGACTGAAAGGTCCCAGGTTTGATTCCGGTCAAGGTTGTGGGCACATCCCCAGTAGGGGGTGTGCAGGAGGCGGCTGATCAATGATTCTCTCTCATAGTTGTTTCTAACTCTCTATCCTCCTCTCTTCCTCTCTGTGAAAAATCAATAAGATATATTTTAAAAAATAATAATAAAATAAAGGAAACCAGTGGAGTATGAAATACTTTTCAGTTAGGTTGAAATTGGTGAACAATCCAATCTATTTAGGATACTTTTTCCCATTCTTTTGAAATTCTTATAGCTTATCATTTTGGTTTAAGGTACATAGATTTCTTATGAAAAAAAAGACAATGAAATCAAAATTAAAATAATTTCATGTGTCATCAAAAGCATAAATACACATAGTTGATGTACAAAGGGGAAAAGATCACTTTTAAAAAGTAATAATAGATTATATAGGCAGCAAGTTCAAACCGTTAGGTATTTCCCAATAATAGAGAAATAAGCAAATTGTACCTCCCCAATGCCCATCAGCCAATCAGGAGTGGTTATGCAAATTAACCCAACAAAGGTGGGTTTAATTTGCATATGCTGGAGTGGCAGGGCAGGGTGCCTGCTATGAGGGGGAGGGGGGGGGGCAGAGCAGAGGGAGCTAATGTTCTGGCAGGGAGCAAAGATTTTCAGGCTCCTGGGCAGCCAGGCACAAAGCCAGGGAAGGAAGGCTTTTTTTTTTTTTTTTTTTCTTCACAAGTCTTCATGCAATGGGCCTCTAGTTTCTAATGAGAGGTTCAGGAAAGGTTGGCATGTTTCTTTAGCTCTTTAAATCTTAAAGCCCTGTGGATAGTAAGCATGGTTACTCAGTTTTGGAAAACTCTTAAGAGAATGATATCTTCTTTTTAGTACTATGCATTCTCTTTGTGAAGTTACAAAATAGTTTATGGTCTTCAAAAATGTACAGTCTCAATAACATCCAAGCATCTGAGAAACTCTAAACTGGGATCTTAGGGGAAACACCTCAGTAGACTCTCCTTGGGTGTTTCGTTTGTTTTAATACTTATTGTTGAAAGTATTACATATGATGTCCCCTTCTCCCCACTCCCCCCTGACTTCTAGCCCAACTTCACCCTCCCCTTCACCCCAGGCTTTCACCACCCTATTGTCTGTGTCCATATGCATACAAGTTCACTGGCTGATCTCTTTCCACCCACCTCCCCTGCCTTCTCCCTAAGTGTTGGTGAGGATGTGGAAAAAAGGGAATCCTTGGTTTTATGTTAGAGAACAATAAAGCTGTTCCTGAACCTTCCCATAGAATTGTTAGGAAAGAGGCTAGCAAAAATGATCCTGCTACTATAATTACCTTTTCAAATAAACACCTAGGGAAAGTTTTTATCTCCCAATGGATTTCATGTGGCCCATCTAAGCTGTTCATTTGGCCCTCAATTTCAGGATCAAGTCTGAGAAGCTCATGAATGACCGCAAAAGGAAGAAATCCAAGCTATAAAATTATGCTCACCTCCCCAGCCCCACTCCCCTGAATTCAATAAAGCTAATTTCATTTTGCATGAAAATTAAGTCTAGAAATATTTTTTGTGATCTGACCTTTAAATCTAATCAAAACAATTTTGTTTCTCCAAAGCAAGGCTTTAGAAGCATTTATTTTTATTTATTTATTTATTTATTTATTTATTTATTTATTTTTGAGAGGGAAAGGGAAAGAGACATCGATACAAGGGTGAAACATGGATCAGTTGCCTCCTGCACATGCCCCAACTGGGGATCGAACTTGCAACTTAGGTATGTACCCTCGCCAGGGAATTAACCCACAACCTTTCGATGCACAGGCCGGCAATGCTCCAACCTGATGAGCCACCTGGCCAGGGCTAGAAGGATCTTTTTTCAAATGAGCTTTTCCCAATTAATTTCCTTGTTCAAAAACAAACTAAAGAGAAGTCAGGCCTAGCTGGTTTGGCTCAGTGAATAAAGTATCAACCCACGGACTGAAGAGTCCCAGGGTCAATTCTGGTCAAGGGAACTGACCTCAGTTGCAGGCTTGATCCCTGGCTCTGTGTGGGCCAATCGATGCATCTCTCTCACATAGATGTCTCTGTCCCCCCCCCCCCTCCCATCCAGAAAAATATCCTTAGGTGAGGATTAACAACAAAAATAGAAACTAAATGTTATGTATTTCTAACACAATTTTGTTTTTAAAAAGTCAGGTCCAAAGGCAGAACTTTGTATTTATTACTATTGAGTTTCACTTTGTAAGCTGGGGTTTACCATTTGTTCCCATTTAGGACCTTTCTGAATTGTTCTGCTAGCTAATGAAGTTGCTATTGTTTCTAATTCCTGCACTCCACAAATATGAGGTCATAGGGAAAATGCACCAGGATTTGCTTTTCATAATCCCCCTTGCACTCCTGTGTGGCATTCATAGGTTCTCCGCTTTAACCAGAGCCTCGCCCCAGACCTGCTCTCGTCTCTGTCCTGGAGATCTGGTTTGAATGGCAGGCACCAGTGAGATTTCCTCACATTTCAGAGGACACCCCAGGTTGACGTCACCCACATATCCACCTCTAGAAAGAAGATCAACTCTCTCCAGCTGCTCCTCCTGCTGCTGCTTTTTTATTCACTCTGAGCAAGACACAGGCTACCCAACTGTCCCCTCCCCAGCTGTCTTGGATTGCAGATCTATTTAGCTAATACTGCTTGGGAAGTAAGGAAGTTATCATTTCTTAATTTGTGAAGCAGCTGTAGTATTAGTACCTAGTAAATAATTATTGGGTGACAGTTACCAACAAGTTATCAAAAAAGAAGAATTCTCTTTTCACAATGTGTTTTTATAGCTGGTATCAGAGGAAAAGATGGTAAAATGGAGGATCCAGAGGATCAAAGGGATATGGTTAGAGAGGAGACCAACACCAGGCAGACGCCAGCAGACTTGAAGCAAGAGCTGCTCTTCCGTAGACCTTGAAGAAGCTCCTTATCGAGAACTACCAATGGAGATGGGCAGCTTCTAGTAGCTGAGGGCCTTAGCTCTACAACTGCAAGGAACTGGGTTCTGCTAACAACCTGAATGAGTTTCAGAGAGGACCCCAAGCTCCAGGTGAGCGCACAGCCCAGCTGCATTGGCAGCAGCCTGACGGGCCCTGAGCAGAGTTCCCAGCTAAGCATCGATGGACTCCTGACCATGAGAAACTGTGAGGTAATGCCCTAGCTGGTTTGGCTCAGTGGATAGAACGTTGGCCTGGGGACGGAAGGGTCTTGGGTTCGATTCCAGTCAAGGGCACATACCCGGGTTGCAGGCTTGATACCCAGTAGGGAGTGTACCAATCAATGATTCTTATTATTGATGTTTCTCTCCCTCTCCCTCTCTGAAAGCAATAAAAAAAAATTTTTTTTTAAAGAAAAAGTGTGAGGTAATATGGGTTGTTTGAAACTGCTAAGTTTCTAGTCACAGCAATAGAAAACTAAAACAACTAGTCATAGTTCAGTTTCTACTGCCACTCCCCATGGGCCCTCCAACTCAGAGCTAGAGTGGACCCTGTCTGAGAGCCCAAAACCCCAGCCTTGGTTTTGTGTCTAGAGTCCCATTTTTTGTTTGTTTGTTTGTTTTAGAATAAACCCCTTTATTACATGAGCTAAGACAGGAGGAAAGAGGATTTATTTGCCTTTTCGGGCCTTGATTTTCCTCAAATAGAACTCCAGCTCCCTGTCCTTGAGCACATAGCCATCTGCTCGGCCACAATGGCCTGGCCTTGAAGCAATGCATACAAGAAGCTTGCCCTGCTGGAACTGCTCCTCAAGAAGCCTGCTGATTTTGGCATTCTTTTTCCTTTCATCATATTTCTTCTGCATTTTCTTTGATTGTTTTTTGTTCAAAATCTCTTCCTCTTCAGGAGTCAGCTTGGCTCTATTCTTGGGGCCCAGGGGCAGTGACTACCGTGTCTTCCTGAAAATAAGACATCCTCCGAAAATAAGACCTACTTACAGGTTTCCTTTTGTGTGAAATATAAGGCATCCCCGAAAATAAGGCCCCCCAGGCTCTGTCTCAGAATGAAAATTAATTTACAGTAAACTGGTCACTAGGGCCGCCCCGATAATGTTCCAGAAGGTGATGACATGATTGTCATTGAATAAATGAATAAATTCTTGATAGGATTCACAGTTTGTCTGGTTTGTGTTGACAACTACCGTACTACTGTACCATATACAGGTAATAAATTTCCTTTATTTTTTTTTAATAATAAATGTGTACCATATTCTTCTTCATGGAAAAATAATACATCCCCTGAAAATAAGACCTAGCCCGTATTTGGAAGCAAAAATTAATATAAGACACTGTCTTATTTTCAGGGAAACAGGGTAGCAGAACTCGCACCACTGTCAGTACGGTGTGCTGTCCATGAGCACAATGCAGTTCTTCAGTAAGGTCTTGGTGAGGACCAGTTCGCTGTTGGAGGCATTGCAGACAACATCAATAAGACTTGTTTTGCACGTACAACACTCTGAGCCCCAGAAGAAGTTTCCCACGTCCAGCCTGAAGGCGCGGTACTTCTTGTTGCCTCCGCGCACTCGGACTGTGTGGGTGCGGCGGGGTCCAATCTTAGTGTTGGCAGCAGGGCGTCCCAGCTCATATTTTTGCTTCTTAAGGTAGGGCTTCCTCTTGCTCCAGGTCTTGCAGCACTTGTGCCAGTTGTCCCAAGAGATACCCATAGCTCGGTGCCAGCTGGAAAGAGAAAATGCTAGAACCCTATTTTGAAAGTCCCTTCCCCGTGCCCCACTCCACTCGCTTCGTTCAGACACCCTAATACTGGCCCTAATGGGACTTGTTAGATTTGGTGATAGGGAGAGCATTCCATTCCCTTCTGTCAGACCTGAGAGCATCTAGAATACCTGGGAAAGATGTGAAACAACAAGACTATTGGTGGCATGCAAAGGATTGTATTCTGAGGGCAATAGTGAGTGATACAAGTAACTTGACTTGAACTTTATAAAGATCACTAATGTAAAATGGATGTGGTAGCAGTAGCTGGGGTAAACACACACACACACACACACACACACACACACACACACACACACACACAGTTACTGACATGTTTGGAAGGTATTGTAAAATCCAGAATAGAGAGAATATTGGCAGAAGCCACGATACTGGAAATGCCAGATTAATAAGATACAGTATGGGGAGGAGGCAGTTAGGTGGAAGAATTAAGAATGACTTCCAAGTTGTGGCTGGATTTCAAGGATAGGTGTTGATGCTGCTAGTTGACTTCAGGAATAGTAAATGTCTTACACTTGCTTAATTTGGAGCATTTAAAAATCCCACCTGGTGCTCAGGAGAAACTGGTGAGAGAAAGATCAGAGGGCCTTCAGTCTATTATTGTTTATGATGATAACTGGATGCCAGGAGCTAGTCTTCATGCCTTTTCTGAACTCTAAACTTGCCTATTCTTTGATATTTAAAATTTACACCACATAATTTAGTAACAACTATTGATTCTCATATTGTTTTGTGTATTACTTAGTCTTATTTGCAAAACCATTGAGAACTCCATGACGGAAGAACCTTTTCTATCTACTCCAGTGTTCTGGATATGAGTAGGCACTCAACACAGTGGAAAGGACCACTCGTTCCCCTGGAATTTTACATTTCATCCACATAAGGAGAGAAAACAGGCCAAGAGGTCAGACATGTATGGGAAGTTGTACAGGGTCTATTCGGCCATTGTAAAGGTGATTTTGGTTTTTACTCTACGGGAGAGAGTATAAAATGAAAGTGTGAGAAGCCCTTTGCTGACTTGCAGCATAATCAGCTTCGGAAACAAAAGTTTTGTCATGTATATATTAAAAGTACTCAACATTTGAGTCCAATAAATATTTGTGGATGATGAATAACTTCTGCATGTGCTGTTCAGATGGTGACACAGTATCATATAAAAAGTAACATTTCACATTAGCAATATTCCCTGGCATGAACATGCATTCATTGAAAAGCCACAGCCAACTGTCAAAAGTGAATCATATTGGCTGCTTTGCCCCATATGAGGCTATGATGAACCTACTCTTGACGTTCAGAAAAAATAGTTATCTTCTGACTGGCAAATCCTGGTGGCATGTCTTTACTTGATTGAGGTGTTACCAGCACCGTATGCTAGGCCATTAGCCAACTCCTGCTGCCATCAGACTTGTGTACTCTTTGCCAAAAGTCCCATCTGTTCTCCATCCTCAGTTTCTTCCCAATTCAAAAGCATGTTTGTTATCTTTAGGAACAAAAACAAAAACATCACTACTATGATCATATTCGTAGTTTAAAAATGAATCGGACTTACCTGGTTGCTTTTCAAGTATTATTTATTGATAGATTAGGCAACTGTATAGATGTCAGGGTACAGAAAATCAGCTTTTTTACCTCAATGTTTTTGAAAGCCTTCTTGCTACTATGTTAAGAAAGTGGTATATAGCTGTATATAAGCTTCCCTTTTTAATATATCTTTATTGATTTCAGAGAGGAAGAGAGAGGGGGAAAGAGAGAGACATCAATGATGAGAATCATTGTTCAGCTACC